ATAATCATAATACAGGGAAATAAGATCTAGGCGTGTCGCGCCCCCGGGACAAGTCATAATGAATAAAATTAATAATTATTGTACGTCTCTCTCTGACTCTCTCTCTGGATATCGGTGGCTCGTCTCTTCTTTTAGCTTAGGGTATTTCTCTAGCCAGACCATTCCGTGGATATCTCTGGACATTTATAATATATCTATGCTCTAGATAGATCAAGAGATAGATACTCGTACTTTATAGTCTACACTACACAGTAACTGACTCATTGGTTGATAAAAAATCAATAAAAGTAAGATAAACTATTAACTAATTAGTCTTGTCTATTAACTAATATATATTTGTTGTTAGATATGCACCCCTTTGCTTTGTAAATTTTACAAGGTACAGTACACTTGAGTGACAGTATCTACCTTAAAAATAACTCTGCATGCCCTGATAGAATTAGGCAGCATAATTTTGGGTCTTGGTTGTAGAAAGTAATCATTAGCTCCATCAACTGTACAGCTCTAATTATACCGAGTATAATTAAGGCCTTTTCACACTGGCACAAGTAATGTGCATTGATGCACATTAATCGTGTTCACACTAGAGTGGTTTTGAATTAATGGGCATTGATGCGCATCACTCTCACTTCGCCTCCAGAGGTGGATTGATGTGAAGTGATGCGCTTCGATTAGTGTTGTGCTAGTTCTAACGGAACTAGAACTAAATCTATTTTAGTACACCTATTTTTTCCTAGTTCTAGTTCCAAGAACTAGAACTAGAACTGAACTACATTCATACAAAAAACCAAAACTAGAACTAAAACTAGAATCTGATAATTTAAAATACTGGAACTAAAACTAGAACTAAAATGCTACCCTTTTAATAACTAAAACTAAAACTAGAACTGAAATGCTACCCTTTTAATAACTAAAACTAAAACTAGAAATAGAGTACGGGTAGAACTAAAACTAGAACTGGAACTAGAAATGGAGTACATGGTAGAACTAAAACTAAAACTAAAACTAGAAATAGAGTACAGGTAGAACTAAAACTAGAACTGGAACTAGAAATGGAGTACATGGTAGACGAGACACCAAAGGTGCGTGGCCTCGCCCCTAAAGCTGCTTGGGATGTGTTATGCTTAGCTAGCCTAAGCCAGTATATTTAAATGATATAAATCAAAAGTGCTGACAGCCTGGACTAAGCAAGTGTGAAAAGTATGATGGGACTCTAGAATCCCAAAAATTGGTAAAACGTGTTCATAAATTCCCATTAGCATCTCAAGATTTATCACTTATTTATACAGTATATTTATACTTATTGCACTCTCATTTTAAAAACATCATGGGTTTCATAACCACAGCTATTGTTGTGGCCACAATCTATCAAAAACATGCTATGCAAAAAAATTAGAAATTGTGCTTTTGAGGCCAAGGGATTATCATAACAGCTAGCTTCCTAGCTGCAGTTACACTAGCTCTTGCATGCTTGCAGAACTGGCAAGCTGCAGGGCCAACTCCCAGCTTGGTCCTGCTTGGAGGCGTGGCATTAATGCAGCAAGACCATGTGAGAGGGAAGCTTCACGTTTTTTTCTCTTCTTCTAAGCGCTATATGATGTTATAATGGCACAAATACTGTTGCCTAGATAGATTGAGTGACTTAAGAGAGTTTAGGATCCTTAGACTAGCCATGGACTAGCGAACTACTGCTACAGCACTTTACTCGGGATGAAATTCGAGTAGCTATAACTCACCAAAAAGGAAGATTTAAAGAGTCCCACACATATTAAATAAATAAATAGTCTTGATCTACTGGGAAAGAGTCTCATTTACATCCAGAGTACTACCGCTATTGCTGGGCATTTTCTCGTGAGTTAAAAAGCTTGTACTACCTAGAGCTATTCTCGAAACATCTCGAAGCAGTAAAGTAAGACTTTTCCTAACAGAAGAGAAGCTCTCACAGGTTTAGAGCATGCGATTGTAAAGATATACATTCTCAAAGACAAAATCTAGCACACAGAATGAATGAATGACAGACAGACAAACCGAGTACCTAGTCCTCGCCTACGCAAAGCTGGGCGAGGCCAAAAAAACTAAAACTAAAACAAGAAATAGGGTACTGCACAACACTAGCTTCGATCGATGTAAACCAATGGCAACAAGAACACAAGATGATACATAATTTAGCTGCCAGTGTGAACACGATCAATGTGCATTATTTCAGCTGTATCAGCAAAGCGCATCAAAGCACTTTGAAAACTGTGCCAGTGTGAAAAGGCCTTAACACCCTCTCTTCAGAACAACATGCAGTGAGGTGACCTTTAAGCCCTCCATACACCAGGCAACATGTTGCTAGCAACATTTGTGGTTACTTTGATCTTGTAAGCAACATGTTGCCAGAAATGGAAAAATGTTCTATTTTTAGCAACATGTTGCTTAGTTGCTAGCAACAAGTTGCCTCGTGTATGAAGGCCTTTACATTAAGGGTGCTGCCTATAGCAATAATTATGTTATGCAGGAATGTTTAAGCCATACAAGTGTCCTATACTCTTTATTCTCCTCTAAAAATGGGTTTTAATTTAATAAAATACCTTTAGGAAAGGGAGCAAAAAATTTTGAGACTTCGCAAAAAACTTTAAAATCAAAGTTAAGGCCTTTTCACACTGGCACAGTTTTCAAAACGCTTTGATGCGCTTTGCTGATACAGAAGTGAGAGTGATGCGCATCAATGCGCATTAATGCAAAACCACTCTAGTGTGAACACGATTAATGTGCATCAATGCGCATTACTTGTGCCAGTGTGAAAAGGCCTTTAGATTTAAAAATTGGTGTTTCATGCTTGAAATATGCAAACTTTTGAAAAACTCTGCCTGTGGTCATCAGAATGAGACCAAATTTGCAATAGAGCCTTTTTACATAATTACACATACAGTAACATGGAGATATTCCAATTAAACAGAGCTAGTATAGTAAAATGTGGTGTCGATCAATAAGAAAATTAAAATTATTGGCATTGCAAGTAGAAAAAGAGAAATGTCTTTGTGTTAATCAATTTGTTTGGTTAAAACTTGTTATTCAAATTGAAAGTAAGAGGAGTTTTTCGCTTTTGAAAATTATTTAGTATTTTAGCCCTTGATGCCATAGCTTAAAGAGTTAAAGGCTCTAAGTTTTATAACTAACAAACTAATTTAGTTACTGTCTTGTAACTAGTACTGGTTCCATTATGATTGTTAAAGTACTTTGGGACTAAAAAACAGCTCCCTTGACAACAGATTAAAAATTGTGCGTGGGTGGTGGTGCTGCACCCTTAAAGGGAAGCAATTTTTAGGGAGCATCCCCACTCATTGTGGTCATTTTAAGATATTAATTGTTGTTTTAATTATCACAATTTTAATCAGAAGAATTTGAAAAATTTTGTGTAGTAGATAGTGAAGTGGTTGGGTAAGACTATGATACTATATGTAACCAAGGTAGGGCGTTTTTGGCAGTCAGGTAATTTCATTTTTATTCCACATTTGCAAAGGTAATTTAAGTTATTTTGGTATGAAAAACTATTAATTTTTAGTTTTCGTTATAATTATGCAATTTAAAGTGATTGAGGTATCAAATACTTTAGTTTTTTGATCAGTTAAGAAACACATGTTAATGAACATAATAGCTGGCTCATAGGCTAATTGTAACCATTTCTTCAGTTAAGTTTTAGTTTTAATTAATCTCTGTAAAACTGAGAAATTAGTATTTAGTTTTAGTTATTGTTAACTGAAAAAAATACTATATATAATAGTTTAATTTTGGTAACCCAAGTGCTGCCCCATCTTACCATGAAGGCTCTATGTAAGTTTTTATAAGCCCATGCGCCCCAAATTTTTTTCCTTGGTCCCACACTATTTTAGCCATTTTTGCCATAAAAATTATGGAAATTGATTTATGTGTGAATCTATTGTATTATGGTTCATGTTTTAATTAATCTGTGAATTTTGATGCCATTGCAATTATAAATTCCATTTCATAAGTGAGCACAGACATACACACACTGCCAAAATGGGTCACATGACAACTGCAGTGTATCTAGCCTATTATGCCTATAATGTTTGCAAGGGCAATATGCCACAGCCCAGCTGCTTAGTACATGCTGAAATGAAACAAGCTAAGTGGGGTGGCAAATCCAATTATTGTACATAAAACTGTGTGGGTATTATCACATTGTTACTGGTTAGCACACAGCTGCTGCTTCATCTCTTGCAGGTGGTTGTCAGCTTGTGCATGAGATAAGTAATGTCAAAAGTACTCTTGGTAATGTTGATTTTGCAGATCTGCCTGAATATATAGGGCCTACACTAGACATGTATTTTGTTACAAGCTTAATATTATTGAGTGATTAAACTTACCTTTTAGCATTTGATCTAAAGCATTTTTTTGCCTTAAGCTACTTTTACTAATCATTATGCACTATTACCGTAAGTATAGAAAATAAATGTTCGCGGTTTTGTGCTAGTTGCTTTATTTTGTAAATTTCATGTGGACAAAATTTTGTGGATAATCATCAGAGGCCAGTGAGGTCATGTGATGTAATAATTATTGCACATGGACTCTCCTCATTTCCTACTTTGCTTCTCTGGATCTTTAGCATCACCAGCTGCTTGTGATTTCTCCTTGGGTTTGTCTTCTTTTGCTATCTTGTCCTCATTTTTGTCCACACGCTTGAAGAACTTGTACAGTGCCATTTTTATTAACTATAATTGGGACGATTTGGGTGTGAGGGCGTTCTGTTCACGAAGGGTTAAAATATTAATTTTTGCAGTTAGCTGGTACCTGCAAAAACTGCAAAAATTGATGTACCTCAAAAATTTCTACACTTACGGTATTATGGCATACATAAAGACAGTACTAAATAGGTACAAAATTTTGGAATGGAGCTACAAAACTGTATTTGCAAAAGAATTTTTTACCAATAAGCAAAGCTTATACAAAATTCAAATAAATCATCATGTACACAAGCAATGCATGTAATTTTACCTAATTTATTTCACTTAGATTAGCCTGTAATAAATTATTGTATTTGTGTTGTTTATGAGTAACAAAAACACAATATTCATCTTTACCTTATATTTAGATGTCATTTGGATTTCATCTTAAGAATGTAGTAGATGAATCTGCAGCATTTGAAGGCACTGGTAATAATCAAGGTATAGCCAGAAGTACTGAATAATGGTGTTTGCTTGAATTTTGTTTGTTGCATTGTGTGAATTTGTTATTAATTGTTCTTTAATAGATGATGTTGGCCAGCCTCCTCCAGCTAATCCTCCAGCTTCTACATTTTCTCATTCTACTGATACACTTGATGAGAAGCATGAGTTGGCAAGGTAAAAATTATTTTGTAAAGCAAAAGTATCTAGTTACCTTAGGGTGGGTATTAATTGCGACACTTAATTTTAGCGTTTTTAGCAAGTGTACTTAAAAACGCTAATTCAACCAGCCGCTAATAATAGTTATTATGTACTTGTGTAAACAAGTACACAAGAGAGGCAAGATCTGTAACAAAATAACAGTAGATAGGGTGATCCTTTTGAGTGTTATGCTCTTAAATGTATAGATTGGGCTTCTTGAGTAGTGTTATGCTATTCAATGGGGGTTTTACCATTAATTTTCTTCCTATTTTCGCTAATATTACATTTCGCTAAATCAGAGTCCCCTTTAAAACACTAAAATTTAAGAGCGCAATTAATACCCACCCTAAGGTAATTTTAGCAGTGGGTATCTTTTACATGTAGTACTTAATAATTAGTACCAAGACCCAGCGTAAATTTTTTATGAGAAACTGCATGACCCAGTAATGCTTTATTTTTGCTTTGTTATTAAATTGATTTGTTTCTAGTAAACTTCCAGACACATCATTTGGATTCAAGCACGATGGTCTAAAAGTGACATCAGTTGATGAAAATACCAAAGGTAATAAATTACAACAAATGAAGTGTGAGCTTGCTATGTTTATATAGGTCATGAAGTTCTTCCACCTTTTATTTCTGATGATCAAATTCTCCCTGCTGCAAATACTGCAAATAAAGATCTTCATTCTTATAATAACAAAGCACTCCTACCTCCTCTTGTCAATAAAGATTCACCTCATGGTGAAGGATCTTTATCATATCCTTTTTCTAGTGGAGAATCTTCTAATGATAAAGCACCTCTTGCTAAACAGCCACTTCATTCTTTCAATGATGAAGCAACTCTTACCAGTGAAAAATCTCTGCAATCTCTTACTGATCAAGTGCCACAACCTACTGTTGCCAGTGAAAAATCTCCCAATATGGCTGATGCAACTCCACCTTCTGCTGCCAAAAAAGACTCTCTTTATTCAACTAATGACAAAGTAGCACCACAACCTTCTGTTGCCAGTGAGAAATCTGCTAATGATGATGCATGTCAACTTTCTGCTAGTAGTGATTTGTCACTTTATTCTTCTAATTTTGGAGCATCTCCATCTTCTGCTACCAATGGCAAAGCAGAACCTCAACTTCCTGTTACCAGAGAAGAGTCTTTTCATTCTCCTAATGGTGAAGGACCACAACCTTCTAAGGCCAGTGAAGAATCACTTCATTCTCCTAAAAATGAAACAGTGCCTCCGCAACCTACTGTTACTGGTGAAAAATCTCTTCAATTGCTTTCTGACAATTTACCTCTACCTGAACCTACTGTTGTAGGAAATTATGATAAAAGTCCTCTCCCTCCTCCTGGTCATCATACTGATGAAAATTTTTCTGTTCCAGGTAATAAAATTTAGTAGTTAGGCATAAAACTGTTCCCACAAAGTGAAATTCTTTGTATAGTAATTGGCAATTTTTTAGTCCAGTACAAATTGTAAAAATGAAAGGTCAATAAATTAAATTAACGTAGTTAAATCTAGGAAACCTAAGTAGTTGCAGTTTTTCTTTGGTAACATTATAGTTAATAATAGCCACTGTTGTAAATAGCCAGCAAAATCCCTCTTACTGACTTACAGATTTTGTTTTGTTAATGCACCTGGACTAATCATGAGAGCAAAATTTTAATTTTTTTTGCATTTCTCAAAAATCGCAAAATTAGAAGATTTTTTCACAGGAAGTTCTATTTATATTTCAGTTAACAAGATTGTAATTGTATACATGTTTTTCCTGACTATTGTATTATTTTAATAGATGGAGAGGAATATTGTCATATTGCACCGCTAGTCGAAACACAAAAGCTTCCTATAATTTTCAAAAATGGTATTTTTAAAATTTTAAGTATAATTACTATGTATGATTATTTAGGGTTAACTGTTTACTTTGACAAAAAAACCTACCGTTTTGACATTGCTGAAGCACCTTTTCAAGTTAATCCACGTAAAAGATTGAAGTCATTAATTGGTAGTACATTTGAAATATGCACCATTGAAAATAACTCTAATGATCATGTCCGTTGTCATGACTTGAGAAAGAAAGGGCAAGAAGGTCTTAAATACTTTATTGATGAAATATATGAGCCAAATGAGCATATAGTGGCTCTTCTTTTGATCAATTCTGCTGATAACTTTACATTAGATCTTCAGCTTGAACTTGATAATGTAATTGTTAATATTCCAGTTTATATTATTTCTTCTGTACATGGTGATGAGGCAATCCATCTTATTGAGGAATCTAGTGGTAGTGGCTGTCGATGCGAATTTACATTAACCAACAGTGAAGTGGAGGGCAAACCGAGACAAAATTATGGCAAGTGTTTAAATGCTTTTTCCTTTTACTTGTGACTATATATTAATTTTATATCAAACATAATTACAGCTGTATTTTAATGATTAATTTTAGAACCAAATCAACTTGTACAACATTTACGTTGTCACTTGTTTGCAAAAGAAAAAGATGAGTTTGTTACTAGCAATATATTTTTATTCAAGTTGCTAACAAGTGAATTTGCTGATAAAGAGTTTGCAAAAGTATATTTTGATTGATGTGCGTATGTATCGATTTTTTAATTTCAGAATAGTGAGAACATCTTAAGTGCTGTACATGAACTAAGGGAAAATATCCATGAGGTTTTTAACCAAGAATTTCTTTTTTTAATAGTCCTGGTCTCTGATCTTAAAAGGAGGTATGTTTTAAAAGTTTTAAATAAAATAACCTGAAACAATGACTCGTGCAGCATTCACATTAGGATTAATAATTTTGATAATAACAAAAATTAATCAAATTTTAAGAGAACCATTGAATGTTGTCACATTCTGTATCATAAAATATTTTGCATCACAGATATAAGGATAAGGCCATTGATGAACTTTATAAAGATGTTCAACAGCATTTGTTTCATTTGAATATAGACGAAATTATCCCTGTGGTAAATGAATTTTGTCAAAGGTAAGTATTGCGAATCATTTAAAATTTATATTGAGTTTGTTTCAGAGGAGACTTTGATATTGAAATTTTTGGAAATCCAAGCAACCGCACATGTAGTGCATTTCATTTACTGCACACAAATATTATTTCAATTGTACGTGATTTTAAGCAAAAAACATTTAATGCTAAGGATGACAGCCAATTTTGTCCTCTCTTAACTTTCATGATTAAGTGGAGTAAGCAGCTACACTACATTACAATGTTAATTTGTTATCTATTCTCAGTTCATACAGCTCTAATGTTTAAAAATTGTTCACATTTACCAAGTTGTCATGTTGATGCTCTGTCAATATGGAAAGAGTACATTGTGTCTGTAAGTTGTCTAATGTAGCTTAAAACTGCAATGGGCTGTACTATACCAACACATCAATGAATTTCTTGATACACCATTGTGTGGGTAGTCTATCTGACAAAAGGCAAAATTCATGACCTTTAAGCTTTGCTTTATGACAGCGTATTTGCTCTGGTCAATTCTGTTGATTGAGCTAGGCTTTGCTTGGTGTGATTAGGCTATTGAAGGGTAGCAAGCTCTAGCCATCTCCTGTAGCCAATTTTGTTTTAGCTCACAGTAATTATTTATAATGACCCGTATTTGGGCCACAAAATACTGCCCATATATGTTGTGTAAATTTCTGTATACTGATTGTGACATGTCACATGACATAATTTTGGCATAAAAGGACATCTATTGTCAGTTATTAGAGAGAAAAAAATCAAAGAATCTACTAGTACTACCATATAAATCTAGCATAAAAATTTTGCAGAGAGGATTTTTGCAATATCATTATAGTGTAACTTGGGGCTATTCTGACCGGTTTTTGCACTTGTCAAGGATCACCGACAGAAGATAACGCTGAGTGGTCTTTAGTTTTAAAAAGATATTTTACTCAAAAACAAACCACAACACAACCACAACAATCACACATATATATATCCATCATACATCCCATACTCAGCACTCAGCTCCCCTTCTCTCATTGGTCAGTGATTCGTTAGTCTCTTCAGATGTTAACACCTGCTGAGGAAGTCTGCCTCTATGAGATATGTCTAGCACATTAGTTATTGTTATCCCATGGTGATCCATTACAGCACTATGATCTAATTAGATATTCACAAAGTAATAATTCATTTCTTCTTGCTTTTATTCACTCATTTTAAGTTAACCATCATTGTGTTCTACTAAGCCTATTTTATTTATTCATCATTAAAATCAAGCTGTTGTTTGGTACTGTAAAAAAGAATCGATCTGTTTTGCTCTCAGTTCTGTATCTGCTACAGTTAGAAAGCTATGATAGAAAAAGTAGGACTACTCTGACCCTTGACACCATGCTGCACACAAATTTCTCATTCCTTTATACAGAGGAACGGAATAGCCCGACTTACTCTACATGATGTTTTTGCAGTTTGACAGTTAATAAGAGCTCTTGCACATATGTAATTAACAAGGGAGGGGTGTGGCTAAATTTGCCGTTATGTTGGGCATAAATATTAGAGTAAATGAAATGTGTTGGGTGGCAACAAGAGTACATAATGGCAAGATGTACACACAACATATTGTGGTATGGAAATTAACTGGCATTTTTTATCTAAGAAATAACAGGTTCACTCAATACCTTTATTCCTACCTTTCTTTAGTCAGGAATTTTAACTGCAGATTTATTGAGACTTTTTCTATTCTCTCCATTCCACCATGTGTATTCTTGCAACCCAACATGCTAGCAAATTTAGCTGCACCCCCCCCCCCATTGATTACATCTGTGCAAGAGCTCGGATCATGCATAAATTCCATTATTTGTCAATTGAATTTTAAATGTATTTGTAAACTCATAAACTTAGTTCTCTACAAATATTTCTGCCTGTGTGATATTTAAACTAAACCTATGCATATTTCCAGGGGCATATCTAAAAATTTAGAAAGGGGGGGTGCCGAGGATGCATGAAGCATACTGCAATTTTGGCCACACCCCATTTAAGGCAGTAAAATGGCATTTTTCTTCATTTTTGTAAATTATGGGTGGGGTCAAGATAATTTCAAGTATACTGGTACTTCTGATTACTCTTTAAAGCACTGGGAGCTGCTGAAATTATGATCAGGTGGCTAGATAACTTTGTTAAGAGGCTTGATAGTGATGCAAGAGTCCAGGACTTCAGTAATTTTTTCTGAGCCCAGCCATGAGGGGGGTGCTCAAGTCCCCTCAGCCCTCCCCCCCTTGGATACGCCCCTCAGTGAATTCCCTTTTATATTAGCCACTAATGAGGGTTCTAAATGTAGCCATCAAGCAACTGCACAATAGACCAGTTGGCACTAAGCATATTTGTAGAATTTTAAGTATATTCATCGTGATACTGTAATTAAAGTAAAATTTTTCTGCCATTATTTTGGAGTCCTAGTTTCAATGGTTGTTTATGGAGCAATCGTGAAATGAGCTTATTCTCCAAAAACTGCTGTATTTATTTGTTATAGCAATCTTGCTACTGCTTACTGACCATCATCAAGTGTCTGTAGTGGGCTCATGAACTTTAATAAGTGCCACTAGGACCTATAGAAGCAAAGATATTGCTTTCTCCCATTCTACTCTTAGTAAACTATGATCAAAATGGCAATAGGAAAAATTTACTTTATTTATGGCATCGCAATGAATATACTTAAAATTCTATGAGTATATATTCTTAGCGCCAACTGGTCTATACCATAGCTGGTATGGCAAATTTATGGGTGTGCACCACTGAGTAATACACATAAAAGTTTAAATAAATTCTGGCAAATGGCTAATAGAATTGGTTTTGTGAAAATTCATAATCTATTTTGGTAAAATTGGTAGCATTAATTAAAAAATTAATTATTATCAGAAAATTTACAGGGGTACTTTAATAGCATTTGAGGATATTACTATTAAATTAACTGACTGTATTACTTTATGCAGGCATGTGTAGGTAGTCTCACACAAAAAGTAATCGCAACATTGACAGAGTCTTTCAATGCTAAAAAAGTAATGTTTAATTTACCTAATGAAGACACTTTCATTGGCTCGGGAGGTCTGGAACATATGCTTTGTGAAAGCAACATGTTAATTTTATTTCGTGAATTAAGGTAACAAAATGATTTAAAGCATTATTTAATTAGTCTTCTGTGTTAGAATTTTTGTCATACACATGAAAAATTGGATAAAAGAACCTGAAGATTTTGTTAAAATTTTATGCCACTTACCCTTATCAATTCATACACAACGTTTTAGAAAATCATCTGGTAACTATAAAGATTCATCTGTTGGAAAAAAGAAATCTGATTTTCATATAGTACAAGAGGTAAGTTTAAAATTTAGTACTTGTATCTATTATACTTTCAATAGGGGTTCTCCTACCTGAATGATTTTGTAGAATCTTTTCATAGTGTATTTGCACCATCAAATTTGGTATATGAAGAAGAAGTAAAGGAATGGATAAAATTTCTTTTCAATTTTTGGAACATTAAAGATGAAAAGAATTCATTACCAATTGTGAAGGAAATTGTTAGTTACGAGCATATTTTTAAATCCTGCTTTTCATTATGGGCTTTGTTTTTGTCAGAGGTATATGGAAATAGTCTTATTTGCATTTTAGTACTAACATATAGGTACAAAACAAAGGAAAAAGCTGCTTTGCTGTTATGTCATTATCATATTTTACAGCTCTTTCAAAAACTTGCAGTGGAAACCTGTGGTCTTTTGAGGTAGTGGTATAATTATATAACTCTGTATCTTTATTGTAATCAATCTGTAGAGTGTAAATAGTTTTTTTAAAACTTACACGAAGCGTTTAGAAAGTAACTCTGTGCTCTCCCATGATAAAACTCTATCTCATTTTTCTGAATGGTAAAATAAATAAACTATTTTGATTTAGAAATATTTCTTTGTGCAGCTTTCGAGGTGCATTTGCTCATTGTTTTTTGATTGATTTTTTGCTGATACCAATTGCAAAGTCATTTTCAAAAAAAGGAAAAGCTGAAGATTATGTTGTTGAACTTATTCAGTTGGATGTAAAACATCTTCTTAGAGGGAACTCTGATGATGACGTTAAAAGAGTCCAAATTTTTACAAATTTTTTAAAAAATTATGTTTCACAAAATAGAAAAAGTATTAACTTTTCTAGACAAAATACATTTGACAAAATTGTAGTAAGTTATTTATGTCCAAGTATATATAAATTAAATCATTATGTTTAGATAGCACTTAAATCAGTGAACAAGTTTAACAGAATTGCTTTGGATATTGTTGCTGAGGTAGGCAGAATTTGATATAGTAAGTAAAATTATGTATCAATAGGAACTAACTCTATATCACTTGCCATTTGAAAAGATTGATAGCCAATGGCTTTTAAT